ATTTGTAAAGTTATTTAAAAAAATTGCAATATGTTATAAAAAAAAAATTCCTGATTAAGAATATTAGTTCATTCGTTAATTACAGTCAATCAAAGGTCCACAGCAGAACATTAGCCATAGATTTTTTCGTATTTGCTTTTCTTGTCAAGCTTGGTAGATAGTTTTGCAACCGCAGTTGTATTATTATTTTTGGGTTGTCATCAGGAATATGCTGCACCAAATCTTCTGCTTGTATGTCACCTGTCGCCTAATACGGCTTCCATTAGATGATATGAGTGTGGTAGTTGATCTTGACCGCTCAGTGGAGACGTAAGATTTTTTTAATAGTATAGGTTGAGAAACGAACACACATCCATAGACATTTAATCTCAATAATGAATCAAAATGTAGATGCGTTGTCAGCCGTGAGGATTAAGATGGAATGCCTCTTTTCCAGTAAAAGTGGTCTCTTGTTCTCTATACTCACCATACGAAACATAGCAGTGTTAAGCTGATATTTTACGCTGGTATGCTGTAGCATGGCTCTACCACGTATTAAATCATATTACTACGTATTATATCCCATTATTCTGTTCTATTTTATATTAGGTCAAAGTTGTCTCAATGGAATCAATAAGAGGAAGTAAGACACAGCTTAAACAGTCCCCTTAGTTATAAAACCACTAATTTTTTTTATAGGGCATTTTTTCTAAATATTTCATTTTGCGGTAAATTATAACATAAAATTGCAATTTACAAAATCAGGGTGGTAATTGGATCTATATCGGGTTGCTCGCGTATAAATTTAGTAAAATCTTAACAACTTTTAAATAACATAAACACAATAATTCGCATAAATGTAATATACTCTGTCTTAGGATTAGCATTATGAGCTAATGTGCTCATGACTATAAAACGATTAGAAATGAAGAGAAAAATGATTATGTTATATACTCTATGATGTATTTCATTTTAATTTTGAAGACATACCGTAGATGTGTTAAATATATTATTATTAGTGGGTATTTTTGACTCAGAACAATAACTGCCTTAGTTATTATTCTGAGATTATTGCCTCCTCAGATTGATTCAGATTATATTATATACTCTATGATGGATTTCATTTTAATTTTGAAGACATACCGTAGATGTGTTAAATATATTATTATTAGTGTGTATTTTTGACTCAGAACAATAACTGCCTTAGTTATTATTCTGAGATTATTGCCTCCTTAGATTGAATCAGATTTTTGATTGATGGATTATTAAATATTGCAACATACCTTGGCCTTTTGTTCATTTCGCTATTTAAAAGTATAGTATATTATAATCTATGCTCTAAAGAGAATATAATCACTACGTTTACTATGCATGTCCATCCTGTCCATCGTAGATAGTATGGTACTAATTCTATGTTGCCCATAGCTTTTGACAATGTCATAATCACAGAGTACATTTTTTAATAATTTTCTTACGCTTGCACCGTCTTTTTAATGCCTTTGTTATAAGAAAATTAAAGAATATAACATAATTATTATTTATTAAAATGCCGTAAGTATTCATACTTTAAAATCATATAATTTAATATTACCATGTGTTAAAATGTACTTTTGCAGTAGTCCAACACAAATTTAAACCAAATCAATTAATAATTTGAAGTCTGTTCAGTTCATAATTATTTTAAATTTTTATATAAGGTAGAGTCACTCTACATCTAGATACAACCTATTACTAAATGTGTTTTAAGGTAATGAATTCAATCAGGGGTTACTTTCTAAAATTTATTATATTAAAAATGAGCTCCTCAGTCGATCTCACTAAACCTAGCACCGCTACCGCCGACTTCACTACACTAAAAAAAATACACTACCGTCAACAATAAGACACGTATTTCACTTCTAAACAAGGCATCATCTTGGGACATAGACTCTGTGACAGGCAAACCCCTTAGACTACTTATACAGATTTAGGTTAAATCACACTATAGCTTAATACTGTGAAAATGTATGTCATAAATAATTACCTTAATCAGGTGCGAGAGTGATTGTGGTCATCACATACAGAATGAACAGATTAGAACTGTTAACACAGCCAACCCGAAGATGTCAAATCGGGCAAACAGTATTCTATATTTTATATTTATAAACGGACAAATTAGGTATTCGTTGATTATGATTATGATATTCACTTTTGTAAAAGTAATACCTGTTTTCCAATTAAATACGCATCCAAACGTTATCAACGACCCAAAACTTGTTATTGTGTTGCTATATGTTAGTACATAATAGTTACTTTTACTATTAAAATACAGCATGTATGTCTTATAGTACAGAGACACTTATTCATCTTGACATGTAACACCTGTGTCAATCTTATGCCCGTTGAGATCAAAGGAAATGTTTGCACAAATTACTGGTAATCTGGACGTTGGTTATATGATGGTAATGGCAAATGAAGCGCCATCTATGGCGTCGTGATAGAACCAATCACCCCATCTCGTAAGAGACGACCACAGGTAATGCCAGGATGATCTGTGATCTTTCAGATAATTCTGGTATTGCGGTATAACCTTTAATAATATTATTAAGATCATTACATCATTACAACTCATTACCGTCCACTGCTGAACCTAGGCCTCCACAGATTGATCGACTAGGCTTGCGAAGATACGTTGCATCTCTGTGTATCTTCTATCGCAAATATATCACGGGCAGTGCTCAGAAGAATTTTTTAATTAATTCCAGTTACTTAATTTCATCATCGTTCACTGCGACAGAACTCGAAATTCCTTCCTCATCATCTTGATAGCACTACCGTGCCACATACGCATAATTTTCTACCACGCACCACCACTGTGTGGAATTTACTGTCGGCAGTGGTTTTTCCGAACCGATACGACTACAGGACCTTCAAGAAAAGAGCCTACTCCTTTCTAAATGGCCGGTAACGCATCTGCAATTCACCTGGTGTTGCAGATGTTCATGAGCGACAGTGATCACTAACCATTAGATAAGCCGTGCTGCCCATCTATTGTTTCATTTCCCTGTGTCGCCTCTTACGACACCCACGGGATGATATGGGGTAGTGAATTATTTTACGCCGCAGATGTAAAATATCCAGACCGACACCTAAAGTATAAGACCTACCAAGCATTCCAGTATAATAAATAGAATGAAAAAATATGACAGAGTGCAATTTTGAATAATGGAGAAAAAAATTACTATCGAAATCAGGCAAGAGGAGGTCATTATTTGTTTAAAGTTTCTCAACAAAATTTCTTTTTTTGTCTTTCCTCGAATGCAGTCCTGCGGTTAAATGTCGCTCGCATTTGACCTTCGACTCGGAACGTGCCAATCTCATTCGCCGCTGACTTTGAAACAAACACGTTTATCAAGTGAATTGCAACAAATGTAGGCGTAAATAGGCTCATTGTGATCACTTAAGTTACCTACACACTTGACAATTGACACTGACTGCAGTTTGCCATTAAAGTATATTTTATTCTCAGAGTATGTATATATATGTATGTTAATTACTCTGAGCTTTTATCGCAACATAGAGACACAAAGACAAACCCAGAGAATAAAAGATACTTTAATGGTGACCTTGGTAATACAAATGAAGCTTAGGTACATTAAAGTAAAAACTAACCTTATATTATAATATTAATGCCATTTACAATCTAGTTCTAAAGAAGTCATTTCGCATTAAAAATGACAGTTTGCATACGCAATACTTCAGAGTACAGAAACCCTTACATTTGCAGAAGATATTGTTGCGTTTTTAAAAACTTTTAAAAATTTTAACGAAATTCGAGAAAAACTCTACGTACTTTTGATTTTATGAAGTTTTGGGGCTGTTTGTTTGATTAGTCAAATGGGAAGAAAAATCTAATGCTGAAGACTTTTAAAATCTAAATTCTTAAAATTGTAAAAAAAAAATTTTTTTTCTTGATAATATCATAATAATAATGCCTTTCATAATCATAACAAAACTTAGAGAAAATGATATGTATAAGAAATAAACGCTAAAATAACAGACAAAATACGTCCCACAACTGGTCACAGGCATTTCTCTTTTCCTGAAATGAGTTTTTGCACCAGGAAAGAGTCCGCTGCTTCAATACGTGTTGACGACTGCAGATATCCTCGAAATGATTTTATTTCTTTGACGCGCAGTTTTTTTTTAATAAAGCTAAAGTGACAAACGAACTTACTGCCCAACTGATGGTAGGTAAGTGGCTGCTGTAGTCCATGGACACCTGCAGCCAACTACAAACAAGGAACGAAAAACGAAGCTAAAGATGCGTTATCACTCAGAAGTGAGAAAAGAAATGTGACTAGGATTGAATGTCTCCCAGCTTGTGATTACATTATCTCTATGTATTCTTCAGACTGGAACACTGCTCTGCAAGATCTGTTATTTGGCGGCAGTTCTTCAGGATGTTTTCCACCACCGTCCAGCATATGATAAATCTGCCGTCAAAATTGCAATTTACAATGTTATTGATAACGGCGGGGATCAAACTCGGTTTGATCATGTACTGAAATTTTAGGGCGAGCACTCATTTGCCGTAGTCGTCATCATCATCATTACAGCCCTTCACAAGTCAACTGCTGAACATAGGCCTCCCCCAAGGAATACCACAAAGAGACCACATGTCTGTATTTTGCCGTAGAACCACGGTGAAATACATTATGGCATGTCAGCTTGTCCGGGAAAGTAACACGTACGTTCAGGATACCAGTGAGAAACGCAGCACTATGCTGCCGTCTTGTATGGTGAGTGACGTGAATCGGAGACTGTTTTTACTAATAACGAGGCATCTCAGGTCTCGGGTCTGTATTTTGATTCTCAATCGAGGATAGATGTTGGTGTCTATCTGCACAGAATTCATTTACCATCAATTGTACTGTGTGCTTATTGGCAACCCATACTTCCATTAAAAATCCCCAGAGCTACGACAGCGTAGCGTAGGTATATAAATAATCATATTGTGTTTAATTATTTGATTGATACAGAGAAATTGATTCCAAATGGACAAAGACAGGAGACTGGAAGGATCGCTACATAAAATTGTACTCTTCACAGAATACTTCTTCGTAAGTATTTTTCAAATAATTATTTAACTTTGTAAAAATAAATCTGAATTATCTTTTTATAACCATAAAATGACAAACGTACATACAGTACAGCCCATAGATACCTAAAAGCAACTTAAAACAATAAAGGCTACAGAGATGCATTGCACAACTAAGGTCTGAAATTTAATGCCTCACACTCACAGTAGGTAATTACTGATTATATTAGTACTACATCCATACAGATTGGGACACAACACTGGATGCACTGCTACCACCTAGTAGGACAAAACTCCCGCTAGGTGATAGAATAAGATTCTACCTAGGAGCTCGTCTGGATTGGTACCACCCTCTTACCTCCCACTAAACAGCAGTGCGTGCTTTGCTAAATATAAACATTAATAAGTACTATTATATAAAATACCCCCACCACTGCCTAGCAAATATAAATAGTAGCGTTTCGTAATCTTTAAAATAGTTTAATATAAATTGGTCATAAAGTCTTCAAAGGCGTAAGCTGTTAACTTATGACTCACTTCTCGTGAGTCACGGATATCGAGAAAAAGTCAACAGCAATGGCTCCAGTCCACATCACGATTTTCACTCTCGACATTCGACAAAAACACTAACGAATAATTATTGTTTATGGTTTTGCATTCTTCATTTTTAAATTGGTCACTAAATCAACTTTATGTAGGCTATAATAATTTCTTTACAATATTTCTCGAGAGTAAGTAAATTACTATGAAAAAGCTCTCTCAACTTTAGGTATTTAACTTGGATTGTATATTTACACGTGGTAGAGTTACACTTCAGCTATGCTAGCTATACATAGTTGCAGCACAATTGGGTTGGCTCGACCGAGGTCAAGTAAGACCACGCTCTCACAGAATACCAGCATGAAACAGCAAATATTGAATTAATAATTCTGCTGTTTCGTATGGTAAGTGTAGAGAACCGGAGACCCTTTATACTGGTAATGAGGCATTTCATCTTAAGTCTCAGGTGTGACAATCACATCTGGATTTCGATACATAATCGATGATAGATGTGGATATCTATGGGCCATAGCATCCACTACTACACACTACTACATGCTTTGTTATGCTCTGTGCTACCGACTACGAGGATTCTCGTTTGTCACAATAGCTCAAAAAAGTTGATTGAATGATTCACCCGCAACCATTTAATATTCACAGATCAATATAGGCTCCAGAGAATCAGTTTCCCTTAAGCTAAAGTGCCAGTCATCTTCGACTGCAATACATATCATCGGACATTTACTTCGCATTCTTTAACATAAATAGAAATATGAGACTACATTGTATATAAAAAGTAATATAAAAATTATTTTAAATTTCTCGGACGTGCAAACTTCCTCACGATGTTTACAATTTACATTCAAAGTCGGGCACGTGGTAAAGCCGCACTTAAATTTTGCTAACATTTTCATTGGTGCAGGTAGCAATTGAACTCTGATTGGATGGTTTGATCGCGTACTATGAAATGTTAATGTACGCGATTGTCTCTCAAGCCACCACAGCATTTCTTTGATAATCTCGTATATATCTATAATATAAAAATGAATCGCTGAATGTGTACCTAAGCGCAAATCTCGAGAGCAGATTAACCGATTTCGCTAATCTTTTTTATAATATTCCTTGAAGTACGACGATGGTTATTACGGAGCGAAAAATTAAAAATATTGCCTGAAAAAGTCTAAAAACAACACTTTTCTATATTCCCATACAAAAGATTCGTAATAATACTTAAAAGTCAATTTGAACTTTAATACCATACCATAAAGTTTAAGTGTTAGTGAAGGGACATTAGTATCGTATAAATATTAATATCAATATTTATACAAACTGTTAGATAGCTGATGTTACAAGGAGTAACTTGGGCTGCTTTTATTTTAGGGTTCCGCGAAAAATAACTCCACGCGGGCAAAGTCGCGGGGAACAGCTAATTATAAATATATATACATAAATAGATGCTTTATCTATCTATCTATGTGTCTTATAAATAACGTTTTACAGAAGGCCCAAACGAGAAGAATCTAGTCGCATTTCATTCATGAGCAACAACAGCGATCCGTACACAATGCTTCTTCAAAGAATGAGATCATTTGAGTGCGATAGTGAATCCAAGCCGGAGTCATCATCGCCACTGCCCTCTACCTTGGAGTCGGCAAAGAGTGAATTGTACAGCACAAACAGGAGTAGCGAACAGTCAGTAAAATTTACAAGTGACTTTTAACTTATTTACTTACTTACTTACTTACTTTACTTATCTTCACGCACAATCCCTGACGGGGTAGCCAGAGAGAACAGATCGCCAAGTGTCACGATCCTTACATATCTCTTTCGCTTCTTTCAGATTCATTATCTTCTTCATACATGCACGTCTAGGTATCCGAGTACTCTTGACCCTACCCTCTTCGAGCAATTTGCTCACATGGTCTTCGAAAGTTATTCTCGGTCTACCTCGACACCTTTTAATATTAACTTTCGCGCTATATATTTTCTTCACCATTCGGTCTTCACTCATTCGCTCAACGTGCCCAAACCACCGAAGCACGCCCTTATCAATTTTTGTGATAATGTCATCTTTCAAACCTGCCATATTGCGAATCTCTTCGTTTCGCTTTCGGTCGGCCATAGTAACGCCGCACATTTTACGAAGAGATCGCATCTCCACTGCATTCAACTTACTTTTATGCTTCTTCTGGCATACCCAGGTTTCGCTGCCATATAACAAAGTCGGTACCAACACTGCGTTATGTATTGCAAGGCGTGCACTCTTCGCTACGCCTTGCCTTTTGACTAACGCAGTCAGGGCACCATTGACTTTGTTCCCGGCAGCGACACGCCTGTCCACATCTAAATCACATCTTCCATCCCGGCTAAAAGCACTCCCCAAGTATACAATTACTATGTATACTTGGGGAACTTATTTACATTCTTTAAAAACTTAAAATTTTACAACTAACCTGTTTTGATGCCAGAAAGTGGAGTGATAGAGTAAATAGTTCATCACCAAATTTCATCCCATTACCATTATAACCTGTCAAAAGTCCACTGCTGACCACAGACCTCATAGGAGGGATATTTGCCATAATTGCCACGCTTGGCGAAGCGGGTCTGCAACAACGGTTTTTTTATAATTTTAAGTTGATTTCAAGTCTTACTGTGGATTTAACAGCATGTAAGGTATTCTATTTTTAAAATAATCTAAAGATCACATATGAATACACTATTAATCTTGTCTACGCATAGTAATATAAAAAAAAAAACGTTCCTCAGTAAACTAGATACGAACATAAACCAGTTTTCAACAGGTTCAATTACTTGCGCTAGGCTACAGCAGTAATCTCAATTTCTATATCGAAAGAGAGGAAAATGCGTAAATTCCTATTATTATGGATAAGACGTAAGTAAGAAGTGATCTTTTGCATCAGCAGTAAGGACATGACTAACAAAAAGTAGAATTGCTACTTCGAATAGCAAACAAAAAATGTTTTATTCTTTTTTGTGATTTAATTATTTTACTTCGTTAATACAGTTGGACATTATCCTGTCGATATACGGTGGTCGCCTAAGGCACGTTTGAGGCACAGTGAAGAAATTGTTACATTATCTTTATACGTCACTTTACCCCATATGAATTAATCAGTTATCAGTAGGTAGTTCTTGATATTTGATATCTCGTAAGTGCTTTTGGTTCGCTTGCGATGCTGCGCGGTATAAAATCTTGCTCATATAAGCATTGTATTGTACGGCCTACAAATAATTGATCAAGCTCTGCTAACGTGCAACCGGTGCCTAAAAGAGCAATACTGCCTACCATGTCAAGTATCGAACAATCTGCCAATATCAGTTCAATTACCACACTCGGTTATGAAGTGTATATCAAACGACGAGCTTATAGCATATCTAAGAACACCTCTTCATCGAGGAATATAACAGGTACCGCTGAATTTAGTCAGAAATCAACACTACGGGATGTATATATAGGATGTATCTCTACTTTTTAGCTACTTTACACCAAGTTACCCAAATTGTTTTAAGTACTAATGAATAAATAGCAATTAATTGTTTCGGCACCGGAGATCCATTACAGATGTAGATACTACTTGAAAGAACGACTACGCAAAACTAGCGATAGTGATTGATATCAACAAAAATCCACCGCTGATTTTTATCATAGTGTCTTAACGTAGTGAAATTGAAAACTATTTCATTGAATCATCAATTTTAAAAGTACACGTTTTTTTTTTAAATTTCTTTTGTGTTTCTCGCAGGTCTGATTTAGGTGTACATGACACAATGCTGTTGGATTTGGTGCGAATGAAAAGCTGTGACATAAGAGAATCTCAAGACAAGACACTAGAACTACCAAAGGACCATGATAACGAATTCGAAGAGTTAGATACACTATATTTTAAAGATTATAATTTATTTTACACTTGTGATGGCGCTGTCCTCGCGAAACACATCGAAGCCTAAATCGTGCTATCAAAGTTCCGAAATAAAATATATGGAATAGCTCCGAAGAGGTGGTATGCTTAGAGCATTCACCATCTCCCTTCCCCGCTTCTCGGAGGGTAGCCCTTTTATGGCGCAAAAAAAATATAATTAATACTCGGAGCGTCGGCCGCTCCCCTGGCAGAACACCTTGCCCGGCGGGAGAACTACCCTTTTCCTTCCACGGGCACAGACTAATTACTTGTACTTCATTAATCTACTCAAATGAAAGAAAGACTAAACTATAGTTTAATATTAGCTTCTGAAATAGGTGCGAATGCTAAGGCATAGTGTATCGAAGAATTAAAACCCCGAATGCAAAACTTTAACTTCTGAAGTATTTTTAGATTGTGTCGAAATTATTTTATTTTTTTTTTAGTTTTAGAAGTCAGATTTTATTTTTCATCAAAATTTAATTATTGTAGCCCTTTATAAGTGGACTAAGGTAACAACAAGATGTTCAATGTTCAATGTAACAACAAGAATTTCATTTAAAATAGTAATATAACAATTGTTCGGATTATTCCAGCCGCCAAATTTCACCGTCGCACAACGCGGCAAAATTGACTTTACAATCCAAATCATCTGATGTTTGGCGGTCCACTACTTTGCATCTTACTGGGAGTTTTCTTCCTTGCACAACTTCTTTGTGGAATATTTTACCACCGGCGATTTTTCCAGACTGATACGACTTAGGGACCTTTACTAAACGAGCTTACTCCTTTTTAAAAGGCTAGCAACGCATCTGCAATTCCCTTGGTGTTGCAATTGTTCATGGGCGGCGATTGACACTTACCGTCAGGTAGGTCGCATGTTTGTTTGCCCCCGAATGTATAAAAAAAAACATAAGATACTGCACCTCTGCAGTATAATTTATTTCATAAAAACAAAGAATAAGTTTAATCTATTTAGCCGTTTCCGAGAAATCGATCAACACACATTTTTAGCGCCCAAAAGCAATGAAAGGGCTACCCTCCAGCAAGCGGGGGAGGGAGGTGGTGAATGCTGTAAGCATACCACGCTGCCGGCTGCGTGGTTATGTGGGACTCACTATGAACCCTAAGTGCCTACCCACTAAACACCACCTGGGACTGGCTTTGGCCTATATGACCTTTCAGCCGAATCGGAAGCGACCGCCTTTCCCTAAAGGGGGTCGCTTCCGCTGCACACATAAAGACATACGCGTTAAATATAGAACTCAGATTTTTTTTAAACTTCTTTAAATATCCTGCTAAAATCTGTTCTGTAACTTTAATAAAGTGTAATTACATTAAACACTTAAAGATAGCAAAGTCACTATTAGTAAAAATTAGTAGTCGTAGTACTTCTCGCATAACTTTCCCTCTCGATTCAATTACGCGTTACAACTTTCTCACACTTTTAAACAACAATACATACCTAGTATGTTGCAACCATCGATTGCGTAAATGTCTGTTTATACTATAATATTTCAGCGTCACAATATGTGTTTTGTAGGCTGCGTCCTTCACAATGTTACCTTATTTTCATCCTCGTTCACCTTAACACGTTTAAAATTGTGCCATTATAAATTTTTTTAATTTTTTTATATCCTTTAATATTTCTACAAAGATACTAAAATATTTAGATTGTAGTGATTGGCACAAGAAACAAAAATACCAAAATTATAATAAATATTTTTAATTTAAATATAATATTGTAATTGTGGCTAGCTTAATAAGCAGTAATGGTCACCTTGTCATACCTAATTTTGATATTCTTCTTGTCAATTTCAAAGACTGTAAACAAAAAAGACGTTAAAATTGTTTTCATGACACATTAAATTGGAATACAGCAATACGACCTGCACCGTTGGTGTTGATTGCGAGAGAAAATCACAAGAGGGTGGGATATGAAGTAGGGTTAATCCTAGGCAGAAAAGTGGGTTGCGTTTCTTACTTATCGGGTAGTATTACTGTCGCTAAGTTTTTTTTTATAGGATAGGGTGACAAACGAGCACACAGTCCACCTGATGGTAAGTGGTTGCTGTGACCCATAGACATCTACATTTATCCTTAATAAAGAATCAAAATGCAGACGCGTCGTCACCTGTGAGGACTAAGATGGAATGTCTCTTTTCCAGTAAAATGGGTCTCCGGTTCTCTACACTCACCATACGAAACACATCAGTGTCAAGCTGCCATTTTACGCTGGTATTCTGTGAGAGCATGGTCCTTCCCCGGTCGAGCCAACCCATTCGTGCCACAACTATACTACTAATATAGCTGCAGAAAATTTTAAAAAGAAAGCTACAGTTGCGTTATCACTTCTGAGGACTAAACTGAAATACCTCACAAGCAGCAATTCTTGCAGTTAGGAGCCTTTCCCTCTAATCTATTTGAGCATTTTTCCCAGGAGTGATTTTCTCCACAGTAGCTGCAGAGATTGTCTTTTTCCTGGCAGATGTTTTTGGTGTGACCGAAGCCCAGACATTTTGTGCACTGCACCAAGGGGGATTGGTCTTCCACCGGTCTTCTTTGTAAGCCTATATAGATTTTTTCGGCTTCTAAGAAACGTCGGTGCAGTGTTGGAGATAGTTCTATGACTGGGTGACATTTGTGCGGGTTTCTCGCCCTATTCCTGTACCGAATCCTCATTGCGTTTTCAGTTGCCTTGAGATCCTGGAACAGATGCTTATTCTGTGCTCGCAGCTGTTCCACGATCTCGGCATCAGTATGGTATGACAACACGTCTTTTATTCTTATAAGTGGATTACACATTTTGGGAGTCTCTGCCTTAGGGATGGAATGGTAAGTGCAGCGGAAGAAGTGTGTGGAACAATAAAAAGAGGCAGTAGTAAAAGAAGAGATGCATGGTGGAATGGTGAAGTGAAAGAAGCTGTAAAGAAGAAGAAGAAAGCATGGTTAGACTACTTGGCCTCTAGTAATGATAAGGATATGAGAGAGAAGATGAAAGAAAGATATAGGCTGCAGAAAGTTCACACGAAAGCACTGATTGAGGAAGTGCGTGAAAGGTGTAGAATGGAAGCGGACGAAAGGTTGTCGCACAACTTTAAGGAGAACTCCAAACTCTTCTGGAAAGAGGTTGGAAGGACCCGAAGTGGTGCGACGGCCTTAAGAATGAACAAAGTGCTTTCGAGAACTAATGACGTCCTCTCAGAAAAATCGAACGTCATGCAGCGATGGAACGAATTTTATAGAGAAATGTATGCGTGTGATGATCTTAGTGAGGGATCCGGGGATGACGCCGTGACTGGTACGCCAGACCCGGACCTCGATGACACTGAGGTCATCAGTATGAAAGAGATTGAACGTGCGATTCGAAGTTTGAAATGTGGTAAGGCTGCGGGACTAGACAGAGTTACTGCTGAAATGGTCAAGTATGGTAGGCCTCGCATGGGACAGCTTTCATCTGCTGTGCAATTTGTGCTGGCGGACGGGGGATGTCCCGGATGATTGGCGATCCGCAGTCATTGTGCCTTTATATAAAGGTAAAGGTTCACATTTTGACTGCGGGTGCTATTGGGCGATCAGCTTGACCAGTTTAGCAAGTAAAGTTTACTCGAAGGTTTTGACACGTAGGATGCAAGAGAAATCGGAAAGATTTCTATGGGAGGCACAATGCGGATTTAGACCTGGAAGAGGATGCACGGATCAAATGTTTTCTCTCCGCATGATCACGGAGAAGGTTCTGGCTGCTAACCAGAAGATTTTCTGTGCTTTTGTGGATCTTGAGAAAGCATTTGATAAGGTTGTAAGGAAGAAAATGTGGGAACTGTTGCCGGGGTATGGTGTGGATGGTCGATTGCTTAGATTGTGCAGTCTCTTTACTGTGACTGTAAAGCCTGTGTGCGGGTAGGGCATGACCTGTCACCCATGTTTAACGTCCAAACGGGCGTAAAGCAGGGTTGTGTCATGTCTTCCTGGCTGTTCATACTGTATCTCGACAGCTGTTTACAGAAGCTGAAAGATAGCTGTTTGGCTGTGAAATTGGGTGACATAAAAGTAAATTGTCTGCTGTATGCTAATGATGCAGTGCTTATTGCACCATCAGAGGCAGAACTGCAGGCATTAGTCACGTGTATGAAAGAGGAATGTGAAATTAAAGGTCTCCGTTTGAATGCTAATAAAACTAAGGTTCTAGTATTTGAAAGGGACGAAGAGAGAACGAAGTGTGAAATATGGGTAAATCAGGAATGTCTAGAACAGGTAAATAAAATTGTATACTTGGGGAGTGCTTTTAGCCGGGATGGAAGATGTGATTTAGATGTGGACAGGCGTGTCGCTGCCGGGAACAAAGTCAATGGTGCCCTGACTGCGTTAGTCAAAAGGCGTAGTGAAGAGTGCACGCCTTGCAATACATAACGCAGTGTTGGTACCGACTTTGTTATATGGCAGCGAAACCTGGGTATGCCAGAAGAAGCATAAAAGCAAGTTGAATGCAGTGGAGATGCGATCTCTTCGTAAAATGTGCGGCGTTACCATGGCGGACCGAAAGCGAAACGAAGAGATTCGCAATATGGCAGGTTTGAAAGATGACCTTATCACAAAAATTGATAAGGGCGTGCTTCGGTGGTTTGGGCACGTTGAGCGAATGAGTGAAGACCGAATGGTGAAGAAAATATATAGCGCGAAAGTTAATATTAAAAGGTGTCGAGGTAGACCGAGACTAACTTTCGAAGACCATGTGAGCAAATTGCTCGAAGAGGGTAGGGTCAAGAGTACTCGGATACCTAGACGTGCATGTATGAAGAAGATAATGAATCTGAAAGAAGCGAAAGAGGTATGTAAGGATCGTGACACTTGGCGATCTGTTCTCTCTGGCTACCCCGTCAGGGATTGTGCGTGAAGATAAACCTCTGCCTTGAGTGTTTCATTCTTCTTAACCTGACTTCTTATCAAGTCCAGATCTTCTTTAGCGCCACAGCTTAAAACAACCTTCCTGTTCCTTGCCTTCCTTATCTTTTCCACTCTTGCGCCAGTCCTCTTAATATCAAGTACTTCCCTGATAGTTTCAATGACATTCTCGCCTGTTTTGTTTGGGTCCGTCGACGAAACGATCAGGGTATGGTTGAGCCTCAGTACAGGCTTCTCTTTCACTTTTTGAGCATACGTCGGAATCGACTTGGTGGTCTTGGCCATTTTTGTCAACGCAAGCTCCGCACTAAGGCTTATTGCCGGTGGTGGCGTTTTCTGCCGAAGTTCACGTATGGTTTTTAGTTCCGACGAAACTACTTCGAGACGTTCGGTGATGGGCTGTAAATGTTCACTAAAGTTTATTGTTAAGGGACTGGGGGTATCACTTATCCAGGTTTGACTGTATAATCTAATATTATCTTTAATTGGTATGGTAATTTAATTTCACCTTACTTACTTTTGTAAAAATTGTAAATTGGACAAAATTTAAAAAAAATTATGGTTTGCGTTTTAGTGTAACATGCGAGAGCTGTGCCCACGGGCTCAGCATGCGCATGACAGAGCGCAGCATATCGCGCTCCCGCGTCTCCAGAGTATCTACAAGGCGGGATATGGACATACCTTCTATCTTAGCCTTCAACGCCATGGTCTCAACGCCAGTAAGAAGACATTTTAAAAATTATTATTTTACTCATGTAGAAACCTCCAGCACAATTGCAAAATGATCTTATCTATTCATTTTTTAACTTGTAAAATGAATAATACCTGCACCTCTCAAAATTTGCTTATTTTCTATATATTATAGACTGATTAGCAATCAGCTATTACATTACTAGAAGCCACGCAATTTGCTTACAATCACCAGTCTGAGAATGTACTTTTTTGATTCCTCCGTTTTTTATTCAGATCTAAAAAGATCAATAACACTGCGAGCAGTAAGAGGATAGCCTCTTACTGCTCGCAGTGTTATTGCTCGCTCTACTGGTTCATAAAGTTAACTATAGAGTATACTGCTAAGCCTTATATCTTCAATGAATTGAAGGAGTTGCTTAGCTGTGAGCATTTTCCTTCTCATGGGCTAAGTATGTAGTTTCACTGATGAGTATTACGTTTGTGCATTAAGGGCCCGCAAACTGGATGTGCAGAGGTATTTCTATCTAATAATCAGTGATATATATATATATCACTGACGTGTCATTTGCTTTTTATAAATATAAATATATATATTTTATAATATAAATTTCAATTGACAGAAGAGAGAAGATGAAATGAATTACTGTTATATAAAATTTAAACAACATAACCTTATCGCATACGTTGTATTTGTAGAAATGTTAATTGATATCTATATTATCCATATTTGGATTATGGTAGTACCCTTATCTATTTAAAATAAAAAAAAATCGACATCAATGAATTCGATATTAAAACAACAATAATGTAAAATTTTCTTCTTATTCTAATTTATATATCAAACACTAATTTAGGGTAGTATTTAGGTATATTTTTGATACTGTTTTGAACCAAATTTTCTAGCAAGCACCTAATGGAATTCCAGCGTTTGAAAGAACACCATCGGTCCAGCTCGAACCATTACCAAAGTGGTCTATTCGTCGCTCCATTTGCCCCGTGTGTTCACAAAAATGGAAAGATCGAAGCTCATTAGCAAACATTAAGTACTCTGGTAAAGTTTAATATTATAAAATTGGTAAAATTTTCTAAGTTGCAAACTAAGGTAACTGCGGGTAATAAGGCCTAGCTAAGGGAAAATCGAAAATAAATCAGAAATATCTAATTTGGTCCACAGATTTTAATTAAAATCATTAGATTAGTACAGTTTCTATAAATTATGAACGAATAATTGTAACATTTCCTATAAAGAAAAACAAAATTAAGCATTTCCAAAAACCTTGCTAGTAGGCCTTATTTTACTATGGTATGATAATAAGGTCTACTGCTTTAACGAACTCAAGTAATCAATTTATACGTAATATATTTATGATCAATAATCACATGAATGCAGCAATTAAGACTTAAAATTCTAAAAAAACATATAAATTGCCTCGCTTAACAGTACTTAGTCATTAGTATAATGATGAACAAACTGACAACCAAACTCACTCCTCGTGATTATCATCAGTACGTCGGTTGATTTTCGAGTTGAGTTGTGTTAGGTTGAGTTGAAAATTGGGTTTATTACCGCGTTGTGTGTTCTTTCAACCAAATTTCTGTCACAGCGGCCAGTCTCAACGAAGACTAGTCCATCAGCACAGTACATAATTATAGTATTCGAATGTATGCGCAAGCACAGGTGCACTCTCTATGCTTTCATATTCATCAAATCTCAATCCGACATGTACCGAGAGAGCTTAGGCGCAGGAACAATAATTTACACATAATTTAATAGCTTATAATGTCAAAGCCTTAATTCTTTGACACACTTTGTCTCTGCACTGTTTGGACAGCTGAAACTAGGCCTTTTTCTGACTACAACATTAGTTGAATAATAAAAGCGTACGATTTGTTTGCATTTATAACATTTAAAAAGTGATATAAAATTCATAACAAAAGAAAAAACTACACATGAAAAAGGAGTATAATAAGGCCTGTGGTAAAATTTAGCAGGCTTTAATAACCGCTGACCAAGTATTTAAGAAAAACCAAATCAAAAAAAAAATTGACAACGATACGTTACTCAAATCTTCAAGATCAACAAAATATTTATTCAGAAATATAAAGATTACGATTTTAGATAGCTAAGTGTAAAATTACAAAACATACCTACAATTTATGTGGACTGATTTTTATTATTGGTGCAGTGCGGTCCTATCTTATGATAGATAATACAACTCTGGGGTGGCAGGACGCGGGGTAACGCGTCTCTGCAAACATTTAGAGACATTATCGTGCAATAGTCTGATATTATCTCCTTAAGCGAGTGCGGTTATTATAAATACGATTTTTGTTACTTATGTCTTATTGGCCGAAAGGCCTTATTACTCACTGCCACCTTAGTAACTATTTTAAGCTCTCATTTATAAATAGACGATATTATCATTAGCTAATCAAAATGCCAAAATCAAGATAGATAACCTATTAAATATAGCCTTTTATTATATTTGAAACAATTTTTGTGCATTATACTATAATGATAGTGATGATGATGATTCGCTTGTTTATCTTTAAGCTCGGAAAAGGAAAGGGCAACGTGTCGCCTTTTTCTTTTTTACACGAATCATTTCCAGTCACTTTCAAACCCCCAAAACTCAAAAACTATTAAATCTACTATCTTGTAGTTTTACATATTAACTAACTGAATATCTAGAATCCGAATGTAATTAATACCTACATATTTAGTTCTCCAGTTAATAAGGTCTGAAAATGCCATTTTTTATCACGCAACGACTCAAAAACCTAGTCCTCTTTTAGGTTACTTGGAAACTTAAAATTGGCATCTAGGTAGAACATTAGATATTTACCTTTATATTCTGTTAGGCTAAAAAACGAAAACCCTCATTGAGCGAAAAAACCGCTCACAAGGAGCTTAATATTTATTATATTTTTTTTATTATATGCGAGTAAATCGAGATATAACTTGTTATGTGTCTCCCAGATCTAGAGATCAACCTTTCCAAAATTTGAAATGATATATATTTTAAGATAAGAAAATTATTTCCGGTACGTATTTAAATCAATGCACAAATAACTGCGTATATATTATAACAGTGGTAGAACCACGCGGCAGCATTTGCTGTCGCACGGATGGGTCGGCTCGAACCGGGGTGGTACCACGACCTCACAGAATACCAGCGTGAAGTAGAGGTTTACCTCTGCGTTCCGCTTGGTGAGTGCAGGTGGCCGGAGGCCCAATTCCTGCCCCCCCCCCTTCGTCATCATCAACATGGTAGCGGAATTGAACAGAAGACTACTCCAGGAGGGTAACAGCACCCCTAGAGAATCAGGTCATTAGGTGGGTGCTCAGGCTACCCCGAGTATTCTGGGAGGGGGGGGGGGGGGGCAATATTCCGTTCGTGACTAATACTGCTCGGGGCAAGCGGAGCAATAAGACCAAAGCGACCCCTTTCACGCTATCCGTGAATTTTCGCAATATCAGGGGACTTCATTTCAACCTTAACGCTGTCCATTACCACCTAGAGACGGCGAAGCCGGCCTTGCTCTTTTTAACCGAGAATCAGGTGTCCTCTCCGGCTGATACTTCATATCTCTCCTACCCGGGGTACAAATTTGAACACTCCTTTGTGCCCCGAGCTTGGAGTTTGCGTATACGTCAGAGAGGACATCTGTTTTTGACGCCTTGGCAGTCTTGAAGGTACGGACCTGTCCATCCTATGGCTGCGCATAGACAGCTACGACCATCCCCGCGTCTACGGGTGCCTCTATAGGTCCCATAGCGGTAATGCCGATACAGACCGACTCATGGCTGCAGACTCCGTGCTACAACAGATCCCATCCGCAGAGATCGTGATACTGGGTAATTTTAACGCCTACCACGCTGAATGGCTTGGTTCCCGTTTAACCGATCATGTGGGTAGATCTGCCTATGACTTTGACCTTGGCATATGGTCTAACACAACTGATTACTTCGCCTACGGGAAGGTACATGATCCTCCACATCTGGGATCCGCCATCTGTTTGCTACAGTCTGTGGAGCTTGACTACCCTTTGACCATGATTACTTATTCGCACATTCCTGTCGTAGGTGATCCACTTTTCATCACCAGTGATCAATCTTTTCAAAAATGCTTCTGGTTCATTACATTACAATAAAGAATCGAAAATGAGTACAGGATTCACTAGGTTTCTTGTTCAAATGCGTCTAAACTTCTTTATTGTCAATCCTCAATTACTCGGCTATATCGTTACTACTAATATGCCGATCTTTCTCCAATTTTTCAAAAATGGCATCGACTTTATGTACATGAGAGCGACCAGAGCGAGCTGCATCTTAGACATCAAAATTTTCGGACTGAAAACGCTTGAACCAACTTGGTGCTACTCTTACTGACACTGCATTCGGTCCATAAACGTAACAATTTTTTTTCCGCGGCTTGAGTGACATTTTTCCTATTTTATAATAAAACTGCAGAATGTATCGAATTTTTCGTTAGAATCACTCATTTTGGCGGACAGATACACAATTGAAAAATGGCCGGAAAAAGTTTTTTACTTTTTACTAATGTCCTATATGTATTGATAATAAAACCAGCCTATTCCTGTTTCTCCTATTGACAAACATCACAACCAAAGAGATTTTTCTTTAATTTTATACAAACAAAATACGAGAAACTTTTTACTGAACTATTATATATTTGAACTTAAGTTGAAATTTTTTTATATGATAAGGGAGACAAGCGAGCATACTGTCCACCTGATGGTAATTGGTTGATGTGGCCCATACCCATCTATATCTATCCTCGTTTGCGAATCAAAATGCAGATGCGTTGTCACCTGTGAGAACTAAGATGGAATGCCTCTTTTTCATTAAAAAGAGTCTCCGGTTCTCTACACTCATCATACGAATCACATTACGCTGGTATTCTGTGAGAGCGTGGTCCTTCGCCGGTCGAGCCGACCCAGTCGTGCTACAACTGTACAATTAATATAGCTGCAGCATGGCTCTACCACGTAAAAATTTGGCTATTCTTTGAAAAATAACCCTGTATATAGCGCGTTAACTTCAGAACCTTGATAACTCGGTGCTTTGCGCTTGCGGCGTGACGCCACAAACTAGTACACTTAGAATCCATAACATATATGGCATTATCACAAAATCCTATACATCTTACACTCTCTGATATGCACTTCTAAGTAGTGTAGTGTGGTTATCTCCCCCACGTGCACAAGTACAAATGACCTAAAGAATCTTGAGGGAATTAATGCAAGCAAGGTGTGTCAGGACCGTGCTTTGTGAAAATATGTGGTAAAGGCCTATGTTCAGTAGTAGAATTGTATTTACGAAGACGATACCGATGATCATGTCACATTAAAAATGCGATAAAAAATAATCATTAGGTGTTTTTTTTCACAGGATTGAAACGAAATACATCAAACGATTTACCAACTGTGACGGTGCCAGCGCGGTTGAAGACATCTATCACTCGAGAATTGTTAGAACTTTCTACAACTCTTTCCGCCTTATTGCTGAAAGTACTTAGTCTTAGGTTTAAACTAGACTCCGTTTAAATAAAGAAATCCCGTAAGAAATTTCACAGCAACTGTCAAATTTCGGGAAGACTGACGACACAATGGAAGAAAATGTGTGTGTATGTTTGTAGGAGGGGGGGGGGGGAGTTTGTAACTTGTTATATAAGAGAGCCACTTATATTTTATATAAGTGGCCTCTTCCTTAGTAAAAAGTACCTACTAAATAGCATTACTCCATTAACATAATTGCTAATTAAAAAGTATAGGCGTTAGAATCAAACTTGGCAATATTTGGTTTGATTTTATCGTCTTCCCTGACGTATTACGCAAACGCAAACTCGTTCCCGAGACACAAAGGAGTGTTCCAAATTGTACCCCAGGATGAAAGGATACGAAGTATCAACAGGAGAGGACACCTGCGTCTGGGTTAGAAAGAGCAAGTCCAGCTTCGCCGTCTTCAGATGGTAGTGGACGGCGTTAAGGTTCGAATGACAATAGCGTGGCAAGATTTGCTTTTCATGTATTGCTCTGCTTACCCCGAGCAATTTTAGTATTGAGTGGAAACGAGCTCAGGAAGAGTAGCTTGAGTGTAGATAGTGAGGGATTCTTAAATTACGAGATTACATTCCATTATCTTTTTTAATACCGCTATCATTTTATGTTATAAAAGGGGGTTGGGCTCCGGCTACCTGCATTTACCAGGTGAAACGGAGAAATAAAGCTTGTACACTGGTGTTCTATGTGGTCGTAGTACATCCCCGGTTCGAGCCGGCCCGCAACAGCAGAAGCTGCTGCGTAGCTCTCTCTACCACTGTTACATATCCTGGAACTATTTTATTTTTTAGAACAGCAGGTTTCCTCACGGTGCTTTAACCGCAGAGCAGGAGATTAATCATATATAAAATAGTAATTAACAATTTCATTGATGCCGGCAGGAATTAGACAGGCAAGAGACATTTATGTGCATCTATTCTCAATTAAGAATTTAAATGCGGATGCGGTGACACCCCCAAGGACTAAAATGAGATGCCTTGTTTTAATTAAAAAGGTCTCCGATTCTCTACACACACAATACGAAATACATCAGCGTTCAGCTACTATGGACACTGGTATTCTGTGCGAGCGTGGTCTCTCCCCGTTCAAGTAGACCGATTCGTGTTAGATTCATAAAATTGCTGTAGCGTAGCTCTACCATGTATACTATAAAATTTAAAGTGAGTTCTTAGTTTTTGAGCTAACACGGTTCTCAATTTTTAATAATTCAATAAGTAATTAACTTTGATGGTGACGTCTATAATATAAAAATGAATCGCTGAATGTGTTGCTAAGCGCAAATCTCGAGAGCAGCTGAACCGATTTCGCTAATTCTTTTTTTATAATATTCCTTGAAGTACGAAGATGGTTCATACGGAGAGAAAAATTTAAAAAATTGCCTGAAAAAGTCTGAAAACAACAATTTTCTATATACCTTACAAAGGATTCGTAATAATACTTAAAAGTCAATTTGAACTTTAATACCATACTATAAAGTTTAAGTGTTAGTGGAGGGGTTCCGGGAAGGCAAAACAATTGAGTGACGTTAGTATCGTATAAATATTAATGTCAATATTTATAAGATGGTAACATTACTCAAAACAAAATTGGGGTTCCGCGCTAAAAATTGATATTCATGAAATCGTAGTAAATTCCACGCGGGCGAAGTCGCGGGGCACAGCTAGTTTTATTATAAAAACACTAGCGTAAAAGTCGAATTTACATAAAACTGATGATAATCGTCTTGTTCAGTCTTTAAAGTCCACAGCATTCCTACTGCCTGAATTGTTTATGCGTTGTCCATGCTCACCATTTTGGACAGAGCGGTCTGTAAGTGCAGATCTGGGACTTATTTATCAATGATTATTGTTTTATTATAATCATTAGTGATTCTGCATCGGAACATCATTAATATAATTTGATAGTATTTGTTTTTATTTCAGCACTCCCCGTCCATTATCTCCAAGTACTAAGGATATAGATACGTCCCGCAGTAATTTTCGTAACACAAGCGCCACATGGCAATTAGTTAGAGCACGTCGACTTCGCATACCTAAATCATACATGTATTCTGAGGATACCGCACCTAATTCGACTGCCCTATTAACAAGAATAGATCTAGATCAACGAGTGAAAAAGTTTTTATCCAGAAACCAAGTGTAACATTATCAGATACCAACCGACCATTCAGATATTTTAGTGTGAAATATATATTTCTATAATATGTTTATTTTGAAATTTTGCAACTTATCTACGAGTAATACTATATCCCGAAAAAGAAGGAGGAGGAGTGACACTGGGCCATGGCTCTTCTCTCCAAAAAATTACATAATAATATAAAACTATTGCATGTCGTACATATCCGTCTTAGTAGCCTCTAATTTTCTTATCCCTCTCCCTTTCCTTATTTTCGAGCTATTGTATTTTCGAGTATTGTTCTTGTAAGAGACATTAGATTTCTTATACTTACCCGAATACTACACATCGATTACAATTAACTTTACGGCTTTTATTGCGTTTATTTTTAACTTATGTTAATACAACTTGACGTTTCAGGTGCTCTTAATAGCACCCACAAACTGATAAGAAGTACTCACATAACACCCTCGATTATGGAGAGACTATTAGTGGATCGTGAACTACAACCATATCAGGGATATACGTACGATGCTCGAAATTTAAAAATGGAACGCACCCGTGTTAAATGTCTCTAAAAATCAAATTTATTTAAAAATAGAACTCCATAAGCCAATTGCTCAGTATTAAAAAAAAAACAAAGTTCTGTTAATTTTTATGCAACGCTTCCCGCGCTTTTCATTTGAAACGATGGATCTTAACCGTGAACATTTGCGCGCTATAATATATTATGATTTTAAATTTGGTTTAACCGAACAATTAAGTTTACAACGGTTACAATCAGTTTTTGGGGGACTCAGCTTCATCACGCGCAATTTTCAGATGGTTTTTCTGAATTCAAAAGGAGTAAAATAATCTTAAAGATGACCAAAGAACCGGGGCCCCGCAAACAGCAGTAACGGCAGAAAATGTATGGACTACTGAAATGTTGGTGCGAGAAGACCCACGTATCTCATATACGGACATCGAAAAGATTGTAGGCATTAGTTCGGGGAGCATTCATACCATCCTACATCAACATCTTGGAGTGAGGAAGCTTTGTTGTCGATGGTTCCCTCGTTTGCTCTTCGAAAGCGTAAAACAGACTCGTGTGTATTGGTGCCATGAAATGTGTCTACGTTTTGAAAACGGGGCATCTAGGCGTGTTTCAGAAATGGTTACTGGTGATGAGACATGGATCTATCAATATGGCCCGGAAAATAAAAGGCAATCATCGGTATGGGTCTACTCAGAAGGACAGTTACCGACAAAACTGCAAAGATCTCGCAACGTCGGCAAAAAATGGTGGCTAGTTTTTTTCGCGGGGCGGACATTTGTCGACGTCAATGCTGGAAAATTGTAGGTCAGTCAACTCTGAATGTTATGCTACAGTTACATTAACAAAAGCTTTTCAAGCTGTGCCGGAGAGAATACCAAAGACCGGGCTTCGGGGAATCATGCTGCATCACTATAACGCCTCTTCGCATACCTCCCTTAGAACAAAAGCATTTATTGAGGAATTTGGTGCTGAAACTCTAAGTCATCCACCCTACAGCCCTGACTTAGCTCCTTGTGATGATATGTGACACTCAATAATGTTTTAAGATATAAAAAAGTATTATACATATACATACATATATACATACATACATACATACATACATATATATATATATATATATATATATATATATATATATATATATATGTGTATATACCTAGTCAGGTCATAAGTATTGTCACACAGTAAAAACTTTTCTTTTAGAATGCAGGCCACAAAAAAGTTTATTGAATTCGAATTTCGAATTGTTCATGAAAATAACTGTATACTTTTTAGAATTTTACTCATTTTTAAATATGGAGTGGACGCTTAAAGAAGACCGTCTTGCAGTTATTGCGTTGCATCGTTGCGGTTACGCGCCAATTGAAATTTTTGACATACTGAAAAATTTGAATATAACCAAAAGATTCGCTTAACGTACCATCAAACGATACAATGAAGACTCTAGTGTAGATGACAGGTCAAGAAGTGGTCGCCCTCGGTCTGTTAGGACTCCAGCAGTGATAAAAGCTGTGAAGGCGCGAATTCAAAGAAATCCCAAACGTAAGCAGAAACTGTTGGCCCTTCAGATGGGGTTAAGCAGAACCACGGTGAAAAGGGTGTTAAATGAAGACTTAGGGCTTCGGGCATATCGAAGAAAAACTGGAAATCGTTTGAATGCTCGTCTAATGGACCTGAGACTGAAGAGATGCCGCGCTTTGTTGAAGCGGTACGCGGGAAAAAAATATCGGAGAATTCTTTTTTCGGATGAAAAAATTTTTACCGTAGAAGAGAGCTACAACAAACAAAATGATAAGGTGTATGCACACAGTAGTGAAGAAGCGAGCAACCGTATTCCGCGTGTCCAACGAGGTCATTTTCCATCCTCGGTCATGGTATGGCTGGGAGTTTCTTATTGGGGCTTAACAGAGGTACATTTTTGTGAGAAAGGTATAAAAACGAATGCAGTTGTGTATCAAAATACAGTCCTGACGAACCTTGTGGAACCTGTTTCTCATACCATGTTCAATAACAGGCACTGGGTATTCCAACAAGATTCGGCGCCAGCTCATAGAGCGAAGAGCACAAAAGACTGGCTGGCGGCACGTGAAATCGACTTCATCCGGCATGAAGACTGGCCCTCCTCCAGTCCAGATTTGAATCCGTTAGATTACAAGATATGGCAACACTTGGAGGAAAAGGCGTGCTCAAAGCCTCATCCCAATTTGGAGTCACTCAAGATATCCTTGATTAAGGCAGCCGCCGATATTGACATGGACCTCGTTCGTGCTGCGATAGACGACTGGCCGCGCAGATTGAAGGCCTGTATTCAAAATCACGGAGGCCATTTTGAATAAACTTTAGTGTCATAAGAATCTATGTTTCGTTAAGTTCATTTTGGTATATAAATGGTTACATAATGAATAAACTTATTTCAATTATTTTATATTAAACATGTGACAAAATGTATGACCTGACTAGGTATATATATATATATATATATATATATATATATATATATATGTATATGTATAATACTTTTTATATCTTAAAACTTATTGAGTGTTCTACGTACTGGGTATGACCCAAAACTTGACCGGTGTGTTATTTACTTTTACCACTGGTTCGGACGAAACCTCTGTCATGAGAAGAACCAGCTGAAAACCCAGCGGGACTTTTTAAAGCATAATTTACAATACAACATTTTATATAATTATTATAAAAACATTTAGAAACAGCATGGTAGCGATCGCCTCATTCCCAGGAGTTATTATCAATAATGTACTCCTTGGCAGTCTAATAACCCTTTTTAAACAATTTTTGCTTATTAAAATTTTCAAACTTTTTGATAAGGCCTGCATATTTTCGGGGACTTTGTTGTAAAAGCGTATATATTGTGCCCCGTGAAGAAATTACTGACTCTTTGTAGTCGAGTAACTGGTATAACCATATTGTGCTTATTCATAGTATTTACAGAATGTACATTTTTTTTATAGTATAAGGGTAACAAACGAACACACAGTCCACCTGATGGTAAGTGTTTGCTGTGGCCCATAGACATCTACATCTATCCTCGTTTGGGAATTAAAATACAGATTCGTTGTTAGCCGTGAGGACTAATATGGAATGCCTCTTGTCCAGTAAATAGGGTCTCCGGTTCTCTACACTCACCATACGAAACAAAAAAGTGTTATTTTGCGCTGTTATTCTATAAGAGCGTGGTCCTTCCCCGGTCGAGCCGACCCATTCGTGCTACAACTATACTACTAATATAGCTGCAGCATGGCCCTACCACGTATAAAAATTAAATATAGTATCGTAAATATAGGTATTGTTTATCTCTTTACATTATTCTCTTAGGGATTCCTTCGGGCCTAAGTTATAAATTGCTCTTACAGCTCACTTCTGCAAAACAAATATAGTTTAAATGTCAGTCGCAATACAAAGGTTCCATATGAAATTATGCTATAGAAAGTACTAAAAATAGCTGTTTCAACACATGTATAAAGCCTTTAATCTTTCTTACTGCATATGCTGCAGAACTAAGTTTGCTAGCTAGTTTAGATATAATGTGAGAGCCCCATTGAAGGTTCGCGTCAACTTTAATTCCGAGAAAAACATTAAATCCAACAAGGCTCAGCTCCTCCCCATTTAAATGTACATTGGTATATAACATTAGGTGAATTTTATACATTTCGTTTTATTTCACAGCAGTTTCATTTATAGCATTATCCACTTCGTCATATTTTCATGATTGCCTTTTAAGTCGGAAAATCAAAATCAGCAAATAAAACTATATCATGGTTATTCCCTACCAGTAAGGTAAGTCATTAATATAAACTAAGAACAGGAAAGGGGCCTAGAATTAAGCCCTGAGTAACACCCATAGATACTACCGACCCGAATGAACTACTGCCATTAATCACAATTGTTTGTGTTCTTTTATTCAAATGTGATGTAATAAGTTTGAGTACTCTTTTTTAATAGGATAAGGGTGACAAACGAGCACACAGTCCACCTGATAGTAAGTGGTTGCTGCGGCCCATAGACATCTAAATCTATCCTCTGTTACAAATCAAAATGTAGATGCGTTGTCACCCGTGAGGACTAAGATGGAATGCCTCATTGCCAGTAAAAAGGGCCTCCGGCCACCTGCACTCACCAAGCGAAACGCAGAGGTAAACCTCTACTTCACGCTGGTTTTCTGTGAGGTCGTGGTACTACCCCGGTTCGAGCCGGCCCATCCGTGCGACAGCAAAAGCTGCCGCGTGGCTCTACCACTGATATTAAGTACTATATTTAAGTACTATATTTTTTACACCATAATGATTAACATTTGTGGCAAGCATTTATTAGTATATCATTCGCAGTTGATGCTTCTTCAATTTCGTAAAGGATTTAATATCAGCTACCACTTTTTTCACTGTCTAATACCACCACAGATGGAACAATTACTTGTAGGCCATACAAATACTTGCGGGATTCGAACCCGCGGCCCCAGTATTGC